TGTAAATCGTGTTTTTAAAAAGTAACTAAGTAACTAATTACTTTTGAAAATAAGTAATCAGTAAAGTAACGGGATTACTTTTTGGGGGACGTAATCAGTAATTAGTTACTGATTACTTTTTTCAAGTAACTTGACCAACACTGTGCATTAGTAATACTTCAGTTTTAAATATGATCAGGGCTAAATGGGCTTTAAAGGCAATGTTAATTAAACCATTACTTAAACCTTTACTTGACCCCCCTGTCTTAGTTAACTGCAGGCCAATGTTTAACCTTCATTTAATTAAAAAAATTCTTGAAAGAGTAGTTGTAAAACAGCTGGGTGATCTTCTGCAAAAGGTTGATTATTAGAATAGTTTCAGTCAAGATTTAGAGTTCACCATAGCACAGAAATAGCTAATGAATGCAATGTTATTCTGTCAGGACAAGCAAGGAAAGCAGTGCTTGCCCAGTGAAATCTAACAGCAGACATAACACCGAACTGAAAGTAATCCCTCTCCTGCCATCACAAACAGCATCTGCTTGAATGTGTTATTGTTGGTGTCACATTTACCAGTTCTGTTTGCATTGTTTATTCTCTAATAAGTGTTATGCAAATTACACATACATTCCTGTTTCTAGAGTCCTGGGAGAATCACGGTGCTTAATTAACATATGGCACGTATACCCCGTGTCCAGTTCTGCATGTACTCTCCGCTGCTCCACTTCTTTGAAGAATAAACAATCTAACAGGCATCTCTTCTCCAGACCCTGATTCTCTAACCACAATTGAAAACCTTATTGTTTCCCCCTCAACCAGCAGTATTTATCGGTAGATAAAGATCTGACAGTTTGACTTCCGAAACGGTTACCTCGGAAAACATATTTGGTCCCATGACATGATCGTCTTCTCTGCTGGATTCCTGGTTGCTCTTTTCCTTATTTGGATTAAGCGGGCCTATAGATGCATCCCTCTCATCCAAAGAGATCAGTTCCTCTGCCAGACACTGCAGCAGATCGTCTGTAAGTGGCCCGTCACCTGCTTCATCCAGAAACTTCTGGTAAACAGGGGACGTAATTGTGTAGCTGTTGCTACTTGAAGATGTCCATGTGTCCATCTTTGGCCGATGAGGACGTTGTGATAACACGGGCTCTGGAAGTGGTCTGTTTTGATTTCCTGTTAATGAACTTACTGTTGTGTCTTGAATATTTTTGTGTGTGTGACTGAAATCCGCACCATGAGAGGCAGATGTTGGTGTAGTGAGAGTGCTGTCATCATCACATTTGATCGTTTCAGAGTCATGTGTAGGAAAGGTCTCTTCTATTGTAGACAGGTGACTTTCACCCTTGTCTTGACAAATGTTGACACCTTTGTTAAGAACTACCTCAGTGTCTAGTTGAGGATTATTTCGCCCTTTGTGGATGCCCTTCCTGACATCTGGAGTTTTTATCCTGGACGGCACAGGCTTTGCTTTGCTTTTAGCTGAAACCACCGTTGTCTCAGCTGGGCTTCTCTTCGGCTTACTGTGTGCTGATTTCAGTTGCCTGTGTTTTGCTTTATGGCCCTGTTGTGTCTTCTTAGGTGGAGCACACTGGGGTGGGCTTCTCTGGTTTAGTTTCTCACAGGTGTAGGGAACTCTGAGGTTTTCATAGACAGGACCGGCAAACATCTCATAGATGGCTGGCCCTTCTTGACTCTGACTCTGTATCTGCTGAAACATATCCTTGTAGGTGATGAGGTCAACGGCAGATTTAGACCTTGGTGTTTCCTCTACACAGGGTTTTCTCAGCTGCTGGGCACTTCTCAGCTCCCTCCCTTGTGCGTGCTGTTGAGTAGTGACAGGATGTATTATTTTGCTCTGTGCATAATCAATAACCTTCTTCCGTGGCGATGGAGTGCCAGAATTAGAGTGAGCACATTTTGGTTTCATCTTTGACTTGGCCTTAGCTACAGTACCCCCTCTGCTACCAGTTTGCTCAGGACTTTTCCTGGTTTTATCTTTGACCTGAGTATTCAGCAAGGAGTACTTAAAGTTGCTTTTGGACTTATTCCGATTTAAAATGCTTCTGTCTTTATGTGCTAGTATGTTGAAAGGCTGCTTAGTGTGATTGCTTGTTCTCAGTTCAAAGTTCACATTAGTTCTTTTCTCCTTATCCTGTGTAAGCTTCTCATCTTTCTTGTGATCTCCATCGTTCTGATGAATGTTTTCAGGTGAAGTACAAATTTGAATACTCCCCACAGCAGCACTGGGATTTAACGTTTCATCTACTGGACTGCAAACTAATGTTTTGTCTACCTGGTGTTCTTCATCACAGGAATACTTCATTATTGTTTTTTCTGTCTGTTTCACATTCCTCAATTCATTTAGATCCTTATTCACATTAAATTGAACTCCGTGGATAATCTCAGTCCCGGGTTCAGAAGTGTTCCCCACGTTGTTCTTCTCGTCCTTTGACTCTGATGTGAAAACTATTACATTATTCAAAATGCCTTCATCCTGAGTCAGAGTGTCTCTATTTTTTGCAGAGTCATATGCTTTTGATGACTCGCTGTCAGCACACTCTTTTGTAATATTCATACGGCTCACTTTGCCTTCATTCTGAGAGTTCAAAGCTATTTCACTGTTGTGAAGATCACTTGTATGATTGAAAAGGTCTTCCTTCAGGCTATGTCCTGATCTGCGGATCAGTGGAACATGACTCATCTTTGACTGAACTTTAAAATGCAGCGCTGTCTTCCCAGTCCTATCAGCCTCAGCGGTGCTCGCATCCTTTGGAAGCTCCAACATCCTGTCGTGACTGACAGTCAGATATGCATCTTGATCCCTGTCAGCGTCCTCATCCTCTAAATCGACTGAGCTGTGGCTGCTGCTGGACCCGCTCTCCACACTGCCATCCTTCGTTGTTGAAGGGTCAATGCATGAGCTGCCCCAGGACAGTCTCTCTCTTTTCAACCTGGTCCTTGTAGAAATAGGGCTCTGACTGATGGGCTTCAAGGGAACATGTTGCTTTAGCACAGGCAGAGCGGTGCCGTCTCTGAAGCGTTTGTCCAGGGGTGCCAAGAGTTTAGGTGTTCGGGGCAGGAGACCCTGTAGAAACCCGTAGCAAATTAATAATACAGGAATTATTCATTATAAAAACATTATGTGGATGAAAAAGAAATGAAAGTAGTGGGGAAAATAGAAGGATTGCGGTTAAAACATACCTTTTGTTCATTTATAGTATGATGAGAACCCAACCCTGCAGATAGAAAGAGATGTAACCATCGAACGTCATCAGTGAAATATAACGTGTAATGCAGAGTACATACGGGTCTGGATGTGTGCTCTGGCCTGCATCATAGAGTTTGGACAGAGCAGAGGTTCCATGATGCTGGGAGCCGATTGGCTGAGCTGACTGGGCTCTGCCACAGACAACAAGTGGGAGGGTGGCGATGCAGCAACCACACTTCTTGTTCTTCGTCTCCTGAAAAAAGAAGAAGCAATATTTAGTTTTTGTGAGTGCCAGTGATTTGTTAAACTTCTTCTTGTCAGCACCTGCTTCTCTTCATCTGTGATGGTAACAAGTAGCGTAACGAGTTAGCTATCTGCTGCTTGATAGTTCACGTGTATGTATACCTGTGTGGTGGGGGTACTGACTGGCAGGGGGTTCTCACACTCAGCAAGCCAGACACCAGAGGATGGTCTGCATGGCCCCGGTGTCTGCTGTCGTTGCTCTTGTGCAAACTGGGCAGAGACACACCTTGACTGAGGAAAAGAGTGGAAAACCCTTTATGGTTGTCATGGAGAAACTGGCATTATTATTTGTGGACGCACTATAATGTCTGAACTGAGAAATTATAAAGAAGAACAATAATGAAAGAAATGTACAGATGCATTTGAAGTTTGTTTTGTTTCAAACTGCATGTAAAGTCTCACTTTGCTCACATTTCTGGAAGCTGACGCTATGAAAGGAGAGACCGGCTTAAAGACCTTTGTTCTCCTTGGAGAGCTTGGACTTGATTCAGTGGTGAGAGCTGCTCATAACAGACAATGGGCTGATTCACCAAAGCCCCCTCTCCCCCTGTTCCTAACCTGTTTGGCTAGAACAGGTTGTCCTCTGGACACGGTGACAGGTGCCTGTGCGCAGATCTGTGGGTGTAACCAGACACTTTTCTACTGTTGGTGTTAAAGGACGGGGGATTTGTTGACCAGCCCATTGAGAGTGTATGCTGTATATACAGGACTGTGTGTTATAGCTGCAGGCTGTTACCTGTACACATCAAAGATGTTTGCCTGTACACAACAGTCTGTGGTTACCTATAAACAGATGCTGATGCGTTCACAGGAGTCAGCGCAGGATCACCAGCTTGTAAATTAGATTCTTATCCCGATACAGTGAATGCAAACTTAAAAAGACCGCACATGATAATGTGTTTTGCTTGAGAGAGAGAGAGAGAGATTTTAGCGTGCCCACCTGCCTCCCCTGCCTTCCGCCTGATAGGCTTCCCTCATGTCTATCAGTGTTTCCATAGCTTCTTGGGAACAGGGGGGGATCCCCTTATCTGCTCCGGACACACACAAACACACAGCGTAACACGCGTTCATCAAATGTCATTTTTATTCTTTCAGTCTTCGTAGTAAAATGCTGAGTCGAAACTCATCCACGTACCATCCAAACAGTCTGTCAGTGGTACAAAAACAGAAAAGCCACGTTGTACCTCCTGTAACAGTCAGCAGGAAAAGAGTTTTCTAACTCCACAAAGAGCCTTGATAACCATACAAACAAGTTTAACTTGGTAAGTTCACACTTACTATTTTCTACATTAAATGTTCAGCAGCACAGCGTTCATATTCACCGCACAATGCTCATCACAGAGGAAATAATAGGTTTTACCTGTTTCTGAGCCTGTTGGTCTCTGATCCCATGATGAGGCCACTTTAAAAAATTCTTTTTTAAACTATCTCTCCTCTATCCCGTTTTCTTGGTCAGTAGTTTCTTTCTCTCACTGTAGTCGAAATGCTTTTGGTGTCCTGTCTAACACCCTCGCTTTCCCTCTGTGGTGTCCAAACCATGCCGCCTGGGGTTGAGTACGAGACCACTCCTATCTAGTCACACACACCCCCACCAACCCCCTCCTTTTAGAAGGTGATTTGATCTCATGGCCTATTTGGGATGCTGATTATGTTCCTTTTTCAAAATCTGAAGCTGCCATCCAGGACTCGTGAACTGAGAGGCATTTTTATTGCAAGTTAATGTTAACTTTGTCTTTAACCCTTTTGAACTCTTAGGTTAAAAGGTTAGGTTAACTAGGGCACAAATTTTAGTCCAATCTAATAAGTCCACAAAAGGAATGCCGCTTCATTTTCACCAAACACTTCAAGTAAACATGGCTAAAACCTCTGAAAGCTCCCTTACCTTGGCTCAGGTCTTTATGATGGTCAGATAGAGGGGGGCTCCCTGGAGACTCTGGAACTTCCTGGAACCAAGAACAAAGGTGAGGTCATCAATACATGCTCCAATCTTAAAAATGAGGCTCATAAAAGATCTTCCAGATGGAATTTATGTTTATAATACTTAAAATAATTGAAAACAAATATATAAATTTCAATTAGATTAAATGTACTTGTAGCATCAATGTCCACAAGGGACTTTGACACAAAAATGTAAAACTTTATAACGCTATAATTAAAATATGTGACTCTGAACTTTCCTGTAAGCTGAATTTCTTCATTCTACATTGAGTCTAATATGCTGCTATGGACTCCCCCTGTATTCTATATATGCATTACTCTAAATGTGTTGTGCACACAGACATTATACCTGTGTGTAATATGTGTGGCTGTAGAATACATACATACACTACAGATCTTCCCTGTAAACCACCTGCTGGTCTCCTCCAGCTAACCAGCTGTCTGCTCATCTACCTTTCCTATAAGAACACCCACAATACAGTAGTATGGCAGTACGGTGTCAGCTACACAGAGCACGTGTACACACACACACACACAAACACACACACGTGTACACTCAAACAGAAAGCCAATTGCTGGTCCATATATTTGTCTTCTGGGTGACCACACTGTCTCTCTGTGTGTTTGTTAACTGAACTGACTGCACTGAAAAACGCACAGCTTGCTGGTCACACTGCAGATGTAAAACTCACCCTGGTGTGGCTGTACTGAAGAAAGTGCTCTTGATCGGTTGCTGTCATTGTGGGCGAGGCTGCTATCGACTGGTTAGGATAAAAGCTCTCAATGTCCAACTCTCCGTCTGAATCTCCAATCTCTGAGACCAAATCCTGTGTTTGTGAAGTAGGAACGGCATCTACACAAAACCAGGAAAAGAAAGAAGTAGTAAAGTGTAAAGTATAATAAGTCCACAATTGTGTAAATCCCTGTTTGGGGCCACACTCCTGGGGTTGGGGTGCAGGGTCTGATAGGTTAGAAACAGTAAAAGAAAAAGGAAAAAAAGCTATTTTTATTTTTGGCTTAAACAATGTTTTCATCCATATTGATCCATGCTCTCTCTGTCACATGGTTTCAGTTTGTTGACGCAGACTCCGTCACATGTAAAGGATCTTAGTAAAGTGCTCCCTCACACATGAACAAACAAGTCTTTCTTATACCCACATGAGTGCAGACGTTTTACTGTGATAACCAGGATTATGAATGAATGTGGTATGCCGGTTATTTGTATCCGTATAAGAAAGCCAGAAAGATCAAGAACGGAGAATTTGAGGCTTTATACTTCGTACATTAGCACATGCTTACTTTAGATTCCTTTTAATAAGTTTAATAAGTAGCTGATCAATTAAACACTAACCAAAGTAAAGAGCAAATAACTCACTAGACAATAAGAGTACTCTAATATAATCTACAGGCAGTGTCACAAAATAAGAAACAGGGATATCAGCTGATTTGGTTTATAATCTGCAGAGTGAAGTCATGCATTGTGATGTTACACTCACACCCCAGAGCGCCATAGTGCTGGACAACAGTGTTAAAGTGCTTATAGACAGGATCATTTACATTTTACAGAAACCTTTACAAACTGCATGACATGATCCGATTTGTGATCGTTCTGAAAGAGCATGAAATGATAATCCTTACTTTTCCAAAGAAGATTAAAAACACTGTTGAAATAAGGAATTTTCATGATTTTCGCACAACTGAGCAGGGACGTTTATTTCCTTTGAACCTTTTTATTGTCCCTTTACCTCCTTTTTTGGGCTCCATTGACTTTGGGAGGAACATCTGTCTCTTTAGGAACTGCTGATGTTCTGATCCTGTGAATCCTGTGAGCTGTGGGATGGGGCCTCCATGCCATGGTGTACACGGGTTAAGGGAAATCCTGTGTGTTACTGATGGAGTTTGGAAGATTGGTCAGTTTTTCATATCTCTAAAGCTGTTCCTGAGCAGTTTGTGTGGTATGGAGGAGACCGCTTCCATCGGGGATGCTGTAGCTATGGAGATTGTGTGAGGACTGCACAATGTAGGTAGGTGGGAGGTGAATGCCAAGGCCCAATGATGTCCAGCAGGACTTGCCATTATGACAAAATCATCAGTGGCATTCAGTTCACATGGCCGGGTGATCAGTTTATTGCCAGTTAAAGAGAACTTGTTGGTGAAATAGCTGCTGGCTGAATGAACACTGATTGCAAAGAGTGAGACAAATGAGGTTAAGGTGTGTGTGTGTGTGTGCATGTGTGTACCTTTTTGACTTAGCGCCTCCATCAGAACATGGATGATGTCTTCTGTCAGAAAGCTGTTGGTATTAGCAGCGTAGTGGAGAGCAGAGCAGCCGTCATGGTCTCGTACCATCAAATCACTGATGAAGTTAAAAGACAGATGAAACAAGTCTCAGTACATTTTTTACACTTCTAGTGAACTTTACATATTTAAAACTCAAATCAGCATGTTGCTCAATGACAAAAGGCTTTAATGTTACCTGTCTACTGTATAAATATGAGCATGTATTTGTGATTTCTTACGCAGAAACTCCCAGCAGTTCCTTGATGACCTCCACAGGTTTGTGCTCCCATGGCAAATGTGCTCCTAAGTCTTCAAACAGGTCGATGTCCCTGACAGCAAGCATCACAGCTGTCACACCGTCGCTGTTTGGAACATTCACATCCAGCCCGTCGGTCTGAAGCTGACACGTGCAAACACACACAAACACAAACACAGGGGGGAAAAAATTCTAAATTAAACTGCTGATCTAACAAGCATCACACTTTAGTGTCATCCATTTCCACCATTAGATGTTACTGGCCTCAATGTGTGTGTGAATTAGTTATTATGAAGCAGCCTGATGGTACTAGTCAGCCAACAGACACTTCTTCACAGCTATGGGAGAATTAATTTGATGCTTTATAGGGAACTAAACACTAATGAAGATCTGTTTTCTCCTCGTCTTCCTTCCATTTTCTCATGTAGTCACCTCATGCAACATTTGATCACTTTTCCCATCCAGAGCCAATCAGCCCCAGTCACTGTTCTATAAATGCATCGTGTTCATATTCAGACTCTGTGCAATCCTCATTCTCCCCATCTCTGCCTCATCAAGGTCGTCCATGGCATCTAATTCAAAATATTCATCAACCATCTGCTTTCTCCACTCCAGCCTTTTAGACTCTGTATCTCCTACATTTGTCTCAGATAATGCTCCATGGTGGAACCTAACACCACAGAAACATTTCATCTTGCATGTTCACATTTCTTAAAACACATTTTGGCCTTTTGTTCCAATTGATCTTTCTTTATTAAAACTGCACAAAGAGTAACAAAGTGCTGCAGTGTGAAATGAGGCCATGAGGCTCAGACCTTTCCCTGCATTCAGTGAGCTGTACTTTGTGCTGGAAATGTTTGTAACAAGTTACAGTTTTGGAAAAATGAATTAAATAAGCAGCGACAAACCGACGTTTTAAATATAAAAGAATCTTGCATATAAAATACTCCAAACACTTGTGTGCTTCATAAATAAATAACCAAGGTGATATAAGTTATTAGTTAATTCAGTTTATGTTTAATTCATAAATAAATAAATAAATAAACCTGTGTATCAGCAAAGTACTCAGCTGACGGCAAACAGTGTGGGCTATTTCCAGTCATTTTACAAAAGCACCTGAGCGTTAGTATCACATTTCCAGATACACAAAGTCACCAAAGGACACACTAACAATGGCAGGCCTCTTTGCTGCTCTGAGCTGGTTATAATTCAAGAATGCATTTGGAAATGCCAAATTAAATGTGCCTTTTTATCACATTACAATATTACATATATATTTTCTCATGATTTTAGAGGTTTAACGACATTTTCAGTCTCAGAATCAAAACTTTTTTTGGTTCAACCACCGCTTAATCCAACGATGGCAAACTCATTTCAGTTGTGGGCTGGACCAGTGAAACTCTCCCTTTGTGCCAGTGTAGACATCACATGTTTAAAATCCCTGAAATAGCGTAACATAAGAAAAAGAAGTGCACTTTTAACAGTATGTCTCTGTTTTTTGACATGATAAATGTAAAATCTAAATGTATTTATTTATTTGTTCATTTTTATTGTTTTTTTGTTTTTTTTTACTGTGAACCCATTAAAAAGATTCTACAGTAGATGAAAAATCTGAAACATTTGTGTCATTTAATTGTTTATTTGTTACTTAATTACTTTGGTGTTGCGTGAGTGGCTATAGGGCGGTCCTTATTAGTACGAAAAGCTTATATAAAATAAACTTATAAAAATACAGTTAAAAGCCCAAAATCTATGTCATCCTTTACATTTTCCAAAGCCACACAGTGCGCAACAACTGCAGGTGTTTTTGTAGTGAGAGAAGATTGTTGCCCTTGTTGTGTTGTCTTTAATCATCTGGGAAATCCTCTGATTCTCAGATGTGTGTGTGTGTGTGTGTGTGAAGTGAACTTACGAGCAGGTGCTGTAAGGAGTGGAGGTCTCCCTGCCAGGCAGCCTGCAGTAGCTGCGCCTGAGGGGGCAGATGAGGCCTTGACATCCACCTCACCATTTTTTCCCGCAGCTCTGGCGGACTCATGTGGAGCGCTGTCTGCTGGCTGAAGCTGCACAAGGTCAGGTCAGCATCCGTCCTCAGGAGCTGCTGAACCACCTGTTAAACCCACCACATAAAAAAACAGAAACATCTCAAAAAAAATGTGAAGCGTAGATGTGTCATTTCTGTCAGTAAAAGGACTTTTGTTGCTCATTTTAGTGTAAACACCTTGTGGTTGGGTGCATTTTAAGAAAACATAAGTTTGAGTTATAATTGGAGAGTTTCTCTCCAGACAAGCTTGTTTTGAATGTCTCCCCAAGAGGATGCAGAGGAGCTATCTTAAAAAAAAAAAAGTTGCATAATCTCATGTGATCGCAGCACATTGTTGTTACTGAAAGGAAAAGTGCGACGTGTTAACAGGACAGAAACTGGTTTCGTCTACCCAACCAATCATATCCATCTGGTGCTTTCCAGGGCTGGAGTAGCCAGGTTACCAAAGCGGAAGCATGGTTACAATAGACATGTACTTGCCAAACTCTCTCTACCACACACATGCACACGCCGTTACCTCGCTCTTGGCACCGCGGCAGGCAGCGATAAGGGGAGTGCATCCTTGTTCCTTGTCTTCCTTCAGCTCTCCTTTCTGCACCCCATCATCAGTCTCACCCTTCTTACACCCTTTCACCATCTCCCAGTCAGACCTGTGTGAACACGAGCCAAACAAAAGCACAGTGTCTGAGCTGTGAGTCAGGGCAGACTGCTACTTTCATCGTTATTTAGAGAAACAAACGAGGTGGAGAAATTATTGTAAACACGCCGCTGATAGATATTACCAAGCACTTTCAGCTAGATGTCTTTGGCAGTCTCTGTGTCTGTGTGATTATTAGTGTGACATTAACCTTGTGATGTAAATCTCTGGTGATCTAGTGCTCCCTGCAGAGACTAGACTCAGGGCAGAGTATAAAGTATTATATCTCATTATTACTGATAGCGATACACATCTTAGTGCATTATACTAAGTGCATTTACTACGTAAACGCAGAGTTTATGGAGCTAAATAATAATATTTCAACTTGTGTTGATCTGGAAACACTTCTGTGTTTCTGTGTGGTTATGTGTCACCACGACAGGAAGTACAAAATAGCCCAAAGTCTCAGGATTGACTACTTCATGAACATAAAGTGTGTGTTTTTTTAGTAAACCACCTTATTTGACCATGTTCGCACACGCTAACACTCCCCCCTAATGTAATGTGAAATCATTTTATAAGTGTTTATATATTTGTAAAGTAGAAATGTGTCTGTGAGGACTGAACTCCCTCTGGTTTAATGTTTGACAAAAGTAACAGTCAAAATGGATGAAGTGTCTAAAGCGAGTGCTAAGAGAAGACTAATTTAAAAGTACAATAGAAAAAGTGTCTTGTACACATTTCCTGACATTAAATGGTTGTAAGTGGTGCTCATCTGTGTGAGCAGCATTAAGGGAAGACGATGATAATTGGAGTAAAAAGCTGAAATGAACTATTGTTTACTTACTGTTGTTTCATTTGTCTGAATCCACTTGTAAACCTTCTGTGGACGTTTGATCAGTGAGTCTTTGATCTTTTCAGCGCACTCTCCACTCGAGTGTTTCCTCCACTTTCCTCTGTTTTGTCCTGCATGCCTTCTGCCGTACGTTTACATTTGGTTACCTTGGAGACAGTCAGACAGACAAGCTGTGGCTTTAAATGCTTCCAGTCTGTTTGTTGCCTGATGCATTAAACCTAAGTGAAACCACAAATATGATTTCTGTCTAGTGTGCTCGACGCAGTTAGACTGTGCATGTAGTAATGTTTGCTTCTGCGCATGATCAGGCTTTGTTTTTGGAGAAGGGGAGTAATGCACAAGCAATCTTTTAACTCATCAAGCTCAACTAAACAACAGGGAGGCTGGAGAAACCTACAAGTGAGCACAATCATATATATACAGCCTTTATATCCATAAATATGATACTGTATAATTAACATATTCTCTAAATGAGGCTTTAGGATGACTGCTTGTGCACACGGTGCTGTTTTAAACTCCAAACCTGCTCTTGTGTTGTTGGATTTTGTTGACATGGTTAAAACACGCTAGTTTTTATGTTCAGAGAGCACCTACGATTACAGCTGAATGTTCAGGTGTGAGCTTCCTTAATGACAGTCACACCAAACTGAGGTATAATCGAACGCTGTATTACTTCTCCACAGCAGTGTGAAAGTCTCTGTTTTTAACTTCTATGCAACTTTGTGTTGGTTTCAGTTTCAGCAGCAAACTGGATGGAACAGTTAATTCCTCATTCCTCCTTCTTTCCTATTATTCTGTCATTTGTGTATCACAAATAAACAAGACAGGTCAATAAATGACTCTTAGGTCAGTCTGAGAAACTCTTCATTGTTCCTTTGAACTCTGACTTTGGTTCTGGTTAAGAGGGCTCGATGATGTCCTCTCACTTTGTTTTTGCAGAATGTTTGCTCTGTGGTGTCATTTCCTCTGGACCTTTGCATTTCAGCTGAACAGATGGATCTGACTTTTTTTTCCCGAAATTAATGCATTTGACTCCAGTTGTCTCCTCTTTAAGTCCCTGCACTGGCAGCACAGCAGTGGCGTTGTTGACCTTGTGTATAACTCTTTTTCTTCTGTTTTATCCTCCTGTCTGACCTTATCTGTGGAGCCCGTGGTGAGGGAATTGGGTCCTGACTCTGTCAGTGATGATTTGGCCAGTTTCAGGTTTCCTTTCAGTCGTGCCACTTTCTGAATTTAAATAGTCTCTGAGCTTCTTCTGTAGTTCTGATATCATGATTTTACAAAGCCACACCTAAGGGAATGACATGAAGGCCTGTATAAATGCATATATGAGTCAGCTTTAGACCTTTTGATGACATTTTGTTTTGACACTTTAAAATACATAAAACATAAATGAAAAAAAAACAAACAAAGAAAAAAACTTTCAGTAAATTTTAAAGTGCCTTTCCATAGAATATGAAGTTTTAATAAATACACGAGTAGGTTGATGTTTCTGCAGCTTCTGAATATTATATTAATTAATGCTAAAGCTGCAAAGTAAAATCTGTCGCTTCTATTCATTTTATTTCTTTAAAAAATATTCTTACTTGTACATATTAAAAACTTATAGAAAAGAAATACTGCAAATTAAACTATGCAACCACCTGAATTTGATAATGGCTATGTACCGCTCCATATGAACACTAGATGTCGCTGTTGGACAACTGCTCTGAGCCCGTGCCTCGCTTGAATCCGTACTCGCTGCACCTGTCCTCATGCACAGTGAATAGAATATAGTGAAGAGAATATAATTTTGAATAGAATCACAAAACTATACATTTCTTGTTTTTTTGGACTTTAAAGTTTATTGTTGCAGCTTCTTCAGATGGAACTCTGAACTCTGCAGACTCCTCTGTCTTTTAGTCGAGTTTTTATTTGCACCTGTTTATTTTCATGAGTTCTCTCATAGTTTTTGATCATTTAGGGTTTTTTTTTAATTATTATTTGGATATATCGTTTATTGTTTATTTAAAGTAATAGATATATCTTTTACAGACTTCTGGGTTCTCTAATTTAACCAATCAAAGAGTGAGAAAAGAAGTCCAGCGCCCTCCCCCTCCCTCCGCTCTTCCAAATCAGCCCCGCTCCCCCTTCCTGCACTCTTTGGGTCTGTCCGATGTCCCCATCGCTAACCGGGACCCATGTCCTCGGGGGGGAAGCAGTGAACCCTGACACAGTCGCTCTGCTCCACTGGTGCCATACTGGTGCGTCCCGTTGCGCACGAGAGCGCTTGAACCAAACACTGCACGCTTCCAGTGACGTTTTTCGGATTTCTTCAGACCTGTGGACGGTTTGTTGGAGAGAGAGTTGCAACTTTACGACTCATTATGTTTCACGTCTGGATGACTCGGTGACAGGAGGACTCGGGGGAGTTGAGGTAGCCTACAGCAGGAACAAGGAGCAGCCTCGGCTCTCCCCCGAGCGGTTTGCGCAGGGTGACACAGTGAAGCTTTTATTGGGGCTGATTGACCGTGCGGCCGGATTACATGGGCTTCTTAAACAGCAGTTATTTATGATGCTACCAATTACTCGTTGAGCTCTTGTTAGTTGCCGTTCCCTTCACTTCCTCGCTTCCAAACTTCAGTCAGTGGATCGTTGTGAGAGCGACAGGATGGGCTCGCAAACCTGCACAGCTCTGCAGAAACAGGCGCTCCTGTGGTTCGTTATAGGTGAGTCCCACACACCGTGGTTTAACGGATGCTCTTCTGATTAAGGCACTCGAATATTTCTGGGCTAAACTATGAGTTTTGTTTGAAAAATATCACAAAGAAGATCCTAAAACGGGAAGAAATAGACGCATCCTGCCAGAACAGTGTAAAAGAAACGGGTTTGGATGCACTTCTGTTGAACAGAGTTCACTCGCCTTCTCTTCCAGAGCGAAAGAAGCACCAACCCTGTGCCATTCACGCCTTTTACTTACCTCAGACATGTGAAGGAAAATGAGAAGTTTTTGTTTCCTTTCAACATAAAATACGAAATCATGCCAGCGTTTCTCAAACTGCTTTTAATTTGTAAGAATAGAATATAAACTATTTCAAACAGTTTTATATCAATTATAGGACGAGTGTTTCTCATAACATGATATGAGATTTATTACTGGGCTACTGGAGGCTGGGTGGTGTGTAAACACGATAATCTCTGTTTAAACTAAAGCGTAGCAGCGATGTTGGGAAGTGGCATGTGTCAGGATGGATGTGCGCGCTGGAGACTGCAGTTGGCTGAAAACGTTCGTTCTTTTTGATAACAATCCAGAGAGTAAGACTTTAGTGAGATTAGTGAGAGTGAGGTTTACTAAAGTTTATAAACGCTTTAGATGTGCAGAACTGACTTTGTTTGGGCAGCTTTTCCTTTGTTTGGTTTGTTCTCAAATGATTAATAAATGTTTAACATAATAATTTGTAAAATTAGTTTTTTTAATCTCAATAATGCACTGAATAAAAGTGTATTCTCTACACAACAAATCTCACAAGTTATCTTTTTAATTGTGGTGACTGTTTGTTTGGATGCTTATTAGCTAAAACCAAGATGAGCTCAGGCAGGACACGACGCTCTGCTCTTTCCTTTAAACACACAACAACACACACATGATATTTGCATAAAACAAAACACTGGCCAACACAGCAGAGAATGCAAAGCTGCAAATCTGACTCGAACACAACAGTGGATCCCACTTTTAGGTGTTACAGCGTGCTCATAACGAAGGAACGACACTGTTCTATTACTGTGTTCCACTCAGGGTATTTCTCTAAACCACTGTGACACCATCTGCCTCTGTAGTGGGCACAATTTCTTTTACTTTCTTAATTAAAACCATTGCTTTTGGCTTCCCAACAATGTTTAGGTGGCTGATGGTACCAAATTAACGTGCACGTGAATTGCAGGACCCAAGGTTTCCCTGCAGATTAGATTGTGACAGGATGATCAATGTTATTAATTTCACCTGTCGCCAGGTTTTAATGTTGTGCTTGGTCGTCGCGTTTGCAGCTCTTCAAAGTTGTTGGTACAAACCTGTTGCTTGGTGAAGCGGCTCGCTTTGGAAACTTAAATAATCTTAGCAAAGACAGCCACCAAGAGCCTAACCAGAAAACCTCTGGTTAGGCTCTCG